ATCACTAGATGCATCGTTGTGGTTGAATTTTGACAAAATAAAATGCCTCTGTCGACTGCCCGCGCGAATTCCACTAAGACCACCAAGGACCCAAGCCTGGGGGGAGCCCGATTCGCATGTCCTATGATACTCTGGGATTTTGAAATTGTTGATCTCTGGATGGGCTCTCCACATCGAATGATAGAAGAGAAAAAGTTGAAGTGCATAGAGCAGAAAATTGCAGTGATCTGCTATCTCGACTACAAGACCATCTGTAACCAAAATGCAAACGATTCAAGTTTTTCTCTGCCTTCCTCATCCAGGTCCCAGTCCGTTGCACGCTGGATGACAGACCGAAGTATGCTTTCGCACCGGCCCGTTGCAATGACCTTGGCTGCATTTGGAGCAAGAAAGGTGAGGGGCAGCGCTCCTGCTACAAGCATGCCTAGGATAAACCACCTACCCAGGGGTAGGACTGTCGCACTGCCACTGCGTATTTTCAAGCATTGAGTGTTAGTATTGAGGTGTCCCAAGTCCATTGTGTTATCATTGCATAGCTGGTTGGTACTTACAAAGCTGATATGCATGCTAAAAGAGCAGAATACGGGGAAGAATGGCTTAGAGACTGACTCGCATCTTGTTTCTCTATTCTCATATATTCACAAAGAATATTGGACTGTGAGACAAGCCGATCTCGAACAACAATTAAGCACCAGAAGTCAGAAGGGGGTACATTTGGACCGTTTTCAGCGATCCCTGTACCATGCTGATTAGCATGATTCTTCTCACTTGTGAAGATTAACTTACCTGGACTGTGAAGAAGATCCTTGGGCTCTATGCGGGCAGCTCGAACTTTGCCGAGATATCTCAGGTACTGCTCCATCTGGAAATCCAAAGACTTGCGACATGCTTTCAGATATATTCTGCGGCTTTGAGGGTCTGAAGTGTTGGAGGACGCATTGCTGTCGAAAGGCTCCCGTGGAGTCAGGCTCTGAGGGCCATCATGTTGGCGAGGCTCGCCCATGGGTAGGAGGCGTTGGTCGTCAGCATCTTTCTGCCCCGCATTATGACGTAGCAATTCGCCAAACGAACTCCCAGAGTTTTCACTATAGCGCTCCATCTTTGTCAAATTGGCGGATTTGTTGCTCCTTGAGGACCGCCGTTGAACAACCCTTCGGTGGGCGGTCGTTTACTCTCTACTACTTTTTGTCCTCGAGACAGGAGAGTTAGGCAACCAGGTGTGATAACATGCAGGCTGTGCCACGTCATTCGCACTTTTCTCGTGCATGCGGGGGTGAGAGAACTTCCAAGGCACATGACTGTCTCACTTTTCATGCAGCGTATCAAATTTGAGTATTGCTTCAGAGGCGATGTGTATTTTGCACTTTGACGCATGCCAGCACATCGGTTTCTCACACCGAGCTGTCGCCTGATGCCTAGGTTTGAATTGCCTTGCGGCCAACATGCGGCCCTACGCTGAGGCTGATTTCTGCTGCAATTCCAATCCCAGGCCTCCACAGGGCGTATTATTGCCTTTCCTATAAGGCCTGGAGTCAACTGTGCTGGGCACGCTCAATTCTCGATTTGCTGTTGAGTTTCGCAACTCTACCCTGCGTCGAGCTCATGGCGAACAATGAGCTGCCACCATCAAACGATGACATCATCAGTCAGCGTAACAAAGACTCTCTCTCAAGTAGTCCAAAGCGACAGAAAGTTTACATACAATTATACGCCAGAGGTCGGTCCGGTACCGCCCAAAATCATGAACGATTTGCGGGCTACATCTCTCAACACATCGGAGAGCTCAGAGACAAATTGGACATAACCCCCGAGATCCCAGACGAGTCTCGGAGGGTTCATGAGGACATTTTCTTGCTGCAGGTAGGTCAAACTTCATTGCCTCATTCTCTTGTGACCAGGAATGCTTAGAGTAGCCCACTGACAAAATATTTTCAAGGCTTGTGCTCGTGTTAGAGGTAGAAAAGGTCATCATATAAGCGACGACGATATTCAAAATCTCAGAGCTGAACTCCGGAAATGTTCGTTCTTTCAAGACAACGACACAACACCGCTCTTTTTGAGTCTTACAGAAGAACACCCGGCAGGACATTTCAAAGGCAAAGTTCTGGCAGGGGACTTTCTCCAGGTCTTTGGAAGCGTACAAGGACAAAATATCTCAACAGGAAAATCTAGTGTTCTGGATGCTATTGGAGAAACGTGAGTACGATCTTTATTATTTCACTGTTTCCACCACCTTAAATCTGGCGCCTGCTTTTGCGACTACCATGTCTACCGGTTTTGGCTGATGCATGATGACTTTACCTTTCTTTAGTGCTTGTACAGTAGCTGGTGTAACCATGGCTTCCTATTGTCTTGTTCGAGGGGCTCAAATCGCGAGTCCGAAAGTCCAAAAATCTTCGCAACCAGGTCAGAGCAGTAGTGCCTCGCCCTCGTCCAAGCCATCAACAACACCCACACCTGCGAAGGCGGTGCAGGCAACGAGGCGTAGCACCTTAGATTATGTTACTGAGGTCGTAAACACTGTAAGACCATAAAATATACCTCAGGGATCGGCTTGTAGCAAGCTAATTAGACTTCGCAATCCAGTTCAACACTATAAATACGGTTTCCTCGCCGTTCCGAGAGCCAAGTCAACCCGAGAGCATTTCACAAGGCGTAAGTGCGCTACGTGGCGTCTTGCCCACATTCGAAAGCTCATTCAACCGGGCAAACTCGGTAATACAGGCCCACCTCTTAATAAGAGACAGTATGTTAAGATTCCCTTGTCTTACGCTACAGCCTTGTGGCAAATACCATGTGCTTACTCTCAACACGAGATGCTCAGCTATCCATCGAAGAAGCGATTGAGTTTATACAGCTCATAGGAGATTTGTCTCACGAAGCAGAGGACACGACCGTCGCTATGAATGAATTTGCTCCTCTTTTTGACAAAAAGTATTCCCGAGCGAAGACTAAGACATGTGCCTTCGCGGCTGTTACCGGGGTAGCTGTAGCTGCTACCGTTGCAGTTTTGTTCTTTAATCCCATTGGTTGCGGCACTTATGTCATGGGGCAGGCAGCTGTGAACTTTGTTGGGGGATACATCACCGCATCACCTGTGAGTATCGTTGCTGGTGCTGGAGTAGGAGGAGTTTGCGGTTACAAGGCCTCAACCAATAGCGATAAGGTCAACTTAATGGAACAAGGTGTGTACAACTGCATATACATGTCGGCCATATAAACGCTCTGACCAGCACCGTTTTAGTTCGTACCAGCCACCTCAACTTCATAAAGGACAAGAACAAAATCGTAGGTTTGCTCGTTCTTCGTCTCTATGAAGGGCGGCCCCAATCGATACCAAAACAAGCCTTTTTGGAGATGGGCATCCAGCCCGAACTCTTACCCGTGGAATGGTACAATCAAGCATTATTCAAGACAGCATGGGAAAGCCTTTCTAAATCTTACGGGGAGTATCTTGCAAGTATTAAAAAGCTATTGAATAGTATAGAATGAGGCTAAATGGCAGAGCTTCCGTTCACCTTTCCAGATGTTATTTCAAGTTCCACCTTGATCTTTTCATTGGCTTATTAGAACGGCCGTTGAAACGAAACTTTCAAACCTTTAACAATCAACCTCTCGCCTGACGAGTTACGTGTACACTTAGGTCAGTTTATTTTATGTATTACTCTACAATAGAAGTAGAGACTCAGTTTGTTACAGCTGCGTGTAATTTATATAGTCTAGACCATGGCCAGTACTTTATCCAGCGGAACTGGCACATTTGGCAGCCAGCCTCTCAATCTAGCCAAGATGCCATGGAAGGATTTATTTACACTCTTTGTGGTAATGTAAAAACCCTGCAAGGCAAACCAGCAAATTTTAGATAGGCACTTGTCAAATCTGGAAAGACTGGTTGGAGATGTTTGTACCCAGGGTTCCGATGATAACATCTCTTATTAGAGGTGCGTGTAACAAATTGAACCTGTAATTAATTTCTTAGCTATACTTGTATTGCTCTTCTCATTAAGACGCTTGTTTGACAATCTAACTGATGTTTTCATAGAAATGAAAGTCGAATGCAGAAGCATCCAGTAGAAACAAATCATCTAGCAAAGGATCTTGGGCGGCCCCTTGAAACACCATGCTGGTATCAAAATCAGCGGCTGCTGTATGGGCGTTTAAACCAAGGTCGGCTAAGCCACCAGAGTTGGGTGATATCTGGCCCTCTCCACCATTCCGCTCTGATGGGCCCTCACTTGACTGCTCAGGGGATGATACCTCGGTTGGTGAGTTAGGCTGAGGATAGAAGGACTGATTATCATGCTGCCCAGGTGGTTCTGCGTATTGTGACCTTGCAGACTCTGCATCGTTTCTCTGACTCTTGAGCTTGGAAACCCTCTGTTCAAGGACCTGCAATAGTCCTTTCGCATAGGTCCAGTACTTTGCAAGATCGCGCAGAGAGGTTAGGAATGTATCCAATATACGCCGAGATTTAGCAGCTAACAGTAGTGTACTAATGTTAATCTGATTCAGAATATAGATAGTTGCCGTAAACAGAACATAGTTACTATAGAGCCACAATAAGGATATAGCCCTCTTGCTAAGCAAAGCCTTAAATATAGATGTAATAGCAATTATGGCTTCTCTGCAGAGAATAGCGTCTTTATATGCTTTAGCAGATATATCATTTAGACTGCAATTCGATGCAGGGCGATAAAGTAGTAGAATGAAGTTATAGTACATTAAATAAAGAACAGACTGCTATATATCGAGATTAGAGAGTTTCAGCTGCAGTCTTTCTGGAATTCTAAGCATTAAATCCCTAAAAGACTTATCTGCTCTTTTAATAGCCTAAAGTTATGCCTCTATAAAAGCTTAAGGCTACTAACCATCCCTTATTATTTAGGATATAGCCTTATATAGCTTAATCTAATAGATTATAAAGTCAATTTCTGCTTCTAGGATGCCTTTAAAGTCGGCATACTAGAGATCCAGAATATCAAAATCAGAAAGATTTCTAAAACGATTAGTAGGCAAGTCTTAGAGATTCATAAATATATTAGAGACTCATATGACCTGAGGTTGACCAGCTGAGGTTACTGAGATTATATTGAACTAGAAGAAAACCTACCAAAGCTAGGTATATATACACTTATAGACTAGTAGAATTGTTAAGTAACTAACGTCTTAATAGACTCCTAAGGCTATAGCTATTCTAATAGCAATCCCAATCCAATACCAAGCATTAATATCGAAATACTACATTATCAGTAGCGGCACTTAAATATAGATAAGCCTATTATAACTAGAGTCACTCTCAATAAGGACTTTTACTCTCCTAAAAAGCACAGGCAACAATAAAAGTATAGTCTTATTATATAAAAAGTATAGTCTTATTATATAATACTAAGGTATGCACTCCTATAAGTAATATAGCATTTAGAAGAGTTAAGCAGACTAGATTTCTTGGATCCTGGCCCTAATATTACGCTATAAACAATTCTTAGTCAACTATCGGCCATCTGTAATTAATGAGCTTAAAATATACTCTTATTAACCTGACTTTAAGCTACTTCTCTAGACGTTTGCAGATCTCATCTAGAATGCCATATGCCTTATACCAACCCTCTCCAGACTCCCATTGACCATTATTGAAGTGAAACACTTTATCATAGCTCATCTCGGACAAGCTCTGGCGAACAAGGTAATGGCAGTTGGACAATTCAGACCCAATAAAGTGTGAACGAGTTCGATAGCCAAGCTCAGCACCTCTTATATCGTTGCGATTCAGAAGGTGTGCGCCCAGATCTTGCTCCCTATCTTCCTTTGCAGTGGAAACAAACGTCTCGGCGGGTAGAGGCGATGAAGTCGCCGATGAATCAACCGACTCGCGCGGGCGGAGGGGAGCAAGAACAGCAGGTCGGTCTAGCAACTGCCTGGCTTCCTTCTTATTGGGACTCAAACGACATCCTGGTCGGCTGTAGGTGCTGCAGTTGGTGCAGGGGACACCTTTGTCAAATATATCGCAGCGGATCTTCCGCTGACGGCAGTTTATACACGCACGTCCTTAAAAGGAAGGCCATTAGAGCCGTAGATGAGGGGGGGTGGCAGTGAATGAACTCACTAGTTGGTCCAGTAACATGAGACGGCTGCGTCCTTTTGGCCGCGATATTTTAAGACCGGGGGCAATAACAGGGCATTGGAGATTCAGTTTCGGGGAAATTGATGGGAGAATGGATTAACCAATGAGGGTGACAAGGGGAAGAATGGTCAGCTCCAATCGGTGTGGCAGTTAGCGATGTATGACAAAGTTGAGTTTGAGGGACACCCCAACCTCCCGGAATGGCTCGGGACAGTCAGATCGGGACAGTCAAATGACAGGGATTAATGCGCTAAGTAAGGGTTAAGAGACGTCGTCTCTGGACTAAGATCTGAATGGGAATAACTCGGTCTTTACATCGAGCAGAGATCCACTAATATACATTCTTGGGTAGGCTGTTCCTGCAATTCCAACTGAGATTCATCCTCCTTGGAAACCTTTCTCTTTTTCGGCTGAGGCCTAGATGTCTCCATCTCGTTATCCTTTCTTGATCTCTTCCTGATCTGCTCAGCAGCAGTTACCGCCATGGGATCTATGGCAGGCGTAAGGGAAGGGATTTTGAAGTGGCGGATGCGTATGATATGTGTAGGTGAATCCAGCTTTTTCGATCTTCTACCCCTCCATGGCCGCTCCGCCATGGCCGCTCCGGATAGTTTTGTAGGACGCAGATGATCTTGTGGAAGGGCCTCTATGGCCTTGTCGAAGGCAGAGCGGACGTCATTGGGAAGGGTGTCACGGTACTGGATCTCCATCGAGCTTGGTCAAGTCACGGACGTGATTCTAGCAAGGTTCTTGTTGCGACGCGCCTGTGAGGGTGTAGTCGGCAAAGCTTCTGTCTGTGCAGAAACATAGATTTGGAATCTGATGTTGCCGTGCGCTGGCTTGCTTCCGAAGCCGTCTTCGAGCGCGCTTGGCGACGACGTCTTGCTTAGCCTTGTCCTTCGGCGTGTCGTAATTTCGAGGCCGCCCACGTTTCTTGGGTGTTCTCGGCATTGTGGATAGACTAGATCGTGATGGGTAGGATATGCTTTTGTCTGGATGGGTATGAGAGATTCCCCTGAACTGACCGTTAAATCCTGATTAGGTTAGTAAACTGACCGCGAAAATCGAAAGACGTTAGCGAGTGACCGCTAAATTCTGGTTGGACGGAGCAAAATGCACTAAGAGCCAAACTGGCTAGCTTGCTGACCGCAAAATTCGAAATGCCAATTTTAGCTAAACCTGATGGTTTTGACTAGCGCCTCCAACACGGGGTATAGAATTCGACTGACCCCACGTATTCCCCCGTCAACGCCCTTATCTTATCTTATCTTATCGAAACAACCATCATAAACATTCTCGCAAGCTCGTCATCTTCAGCTCCGCCCAACTACTCATCGCGACAAATTCTCCCCATGAGCTCCTACGCCTCTCAGCTGTCAGATTACATTGACGGCTGGCTCAGTACTTTTATTGACGATAAAATCAGCGGTCGGAAAGGCGGAGCGCCCATACTCAATTGGAACGACATGCCAACGCCGCCGTCTTCGGATCCAGCTAAATCAACGCCAACACGCAGCAGAAGGCGCTCGCCGAAAAGACCGAGACAAGATGTCAGCACCATCGATGCAGATGCTTACAATATCCAAGGCAACCCATTCGATGACCAGACTCCAACTGGGCCGTCACGGGCATTGCAGATGAGCATTCCCTCACGACCATTCTCCAACCCCCCAACCCTACCGCCCTCATCTTCCGCATCAGGCGCCTCGAATTATTCCCGATCGTCAAGCCCTGTGAAGCGCTCTACGCTCGAACTACTTCAAAAGCCCGTTCGTTTCATTCCGATGAAGAAATCTCATTTGCCAAAACATATACACAAGACATATGATACGATCTTCAGCACCGCGCATGGCAACAACTTCATTCCTAATGCCGTGCGAGAAGATCTGAAGGACAGCGATGAAGATATCTTGCCACAGTGGTTCTTTGAACATCCAGCTAGTAAAACGCCAGAATACAATAACGAACTTGTTGCCTTGAGAGAGATCCAAGATGCTGCGATTTCGCGTCAGACACAAAGCGCTTCAGAGTCAGCTTGGAACATTGACGTCCACGGGCCATTACTCAAACTCGCCCTCAAACCGTTTCCGTCACTAAAACGCGAGATCATCACACACGCAAACATCAGCAAACCCTTCGTCCCTGAAGTGCGAACCGATTCATACTACAACATGACAAAGTCTAAGATGATTGACTGGGGAGTTACAGTCTCGCCGTCAGAAGCGACAGCAAAACACATCAGCAAAATAGTTGACAACCTCCCGCATAACAAACGCTCCATTAACCAGACGATCTACGGACCCGTTAAGAACCACCCGATCGCAGTATCTATTGAGGTAAAACTCGCAAGCGGATCACTTGAAGAAGCAAGAGGGCAGTTGGGACTTTGGATAGCAGCATGGCATCGACGGATGAGTTTGCTTGGGAAGAGTGAGGAGGAGATTATTACAGTGCCGCTTGTCATGGTTATGGAACATGAGTGGAAACTAATGTTTGCCGTTGATCGAGGGGATGCGATTGTGAGTCCCGTGCTTATCTTATAAGGCGAGAGAATACTAATGATTGTAGGACATTGTTGAGGATATAAGAATGGGTGATACAAGAGATTTGCCAGGATTGTATCGCATCATTGCAGTCTTGAGAGAGTTGGCGATTTGGATGGAGACGGACTATCTTGCTTGGCTGGATAGATGGCTTGGACTTGCGCCTCCTTTAGATACTGCGGCTGAATCGTAGACAGTACCCAAGATATTTACGTTGTGGCTAGTTCCGAAGGTTACATGAACCCTTTTTAAACGACGTACTACGAAGAAATTGGATAAAGAACTTCTCTGTGAAGTTCATTTATAAGCCCTGCATAACAAGCTCGACTTAAGTCTCCGGCAGGGGGCTAAATATCAATTTTGTATGGTCACTTAAGGAGCTGAGTTTTGCATAGGGGTAGGACTTGAATTCCCAAAGTTCCGTTTGGACTTTGATTACACGTCAACCGCATCACGATACGACGCGTAAAGTGTTAGATCGACATCGTCTGCAAATGCGGACTGCAACCATGAATTTAATATCTCTCAGACTGAACGTTTCGACGGGCCCTGAATCAACCTAACATGAGTAGCAAGGAGAGAAGTACTGACACACTCTCTACTATAAGTCTATAGCTAGATAGCAGCCGGTGACACTCTATCTATCGAAATTTCTGATGGGATGTTCAGCAAGGGTCAAACAGGCTAGAATGTTGTAATTCTAATATAATCGGCCCCACAGGCATAGTATAAAAAAGAAAAAAGTGCATTGATCTCAATTATGTCTAATACTCCGTCTTACAATCCTTCGCTATATGGCCGCTTGCGCCGCATGCATAACAGAGTCCACTTTGTTTCCGTTTATCGTGCAAGTAATTGTCAATAGTCGTCGCTTTCCTCGCCATATCTTCGAATGTAGCCGGCAGTTCTCCATCCTCATATATAGCCTTTTGGATCTCTTCTTTCAGCCCCAGAAAAAATCGTGCAGCCAAATAAGTTTCCTTTGTCGTTTTGCTTAAAAGTCTGAGAAACTCGGTGCTGTAATCCCTGGCGCTCCCGGTTTGTTTCAGGCGTAAGAGTTCGATAGTAGCCTTCATATCTCCTTGGGTTGCGGACATTTTCTGATTCCTAGTTAGTTTAATTTGTCAAGTCTTGGTATGAACATGATTACAAAAAGTAGAGAGAGTAACTGGGACTCTTATGGAAACTCATTTACAGGTGAAAGGAAATCCTTTACTAGTGACTGCTGGAACCAAAATTGATGATGCATTAATGAGGTTTAGATTCTTAGGGCACCAAAATAAATTATCCCGCAAGTATCACGTGATGCAGCTGGCTTCCACGTCACGTTCAAGTAGTATCCCAATCGTTCGAGTCTTCTGCGACTCTGGAACCTGGACTGGAGTCATCATGAGTCCATAGAATAGTTGATTTTCCTCAAGTATTCTTGCTCAAAACGCGGTGCGTTTTGTCTTTGAAACCAATCAGAGCCTTTAGATTTCTACACCCAATTAGGTGCTCAAAACGGAGCGCGTTTTTATCTATCGACTGTAGTAGGCAAATTCGAATTGGAGTCCAAAGCCAACAGCACATTATTGTTGGCAGATTGCGTAGGGCGTAACGCTGAGCGTTGTCGAAGTGTCACGTCTCTTAATGGTAGACTCAATGCGTGTTAGGCTTGATCAATGTAAAGAAGTTTTATTGATAGCTGGTGAGCTTGAATCTATGAAAGTGCAAATGAATGTGTTCTATATACTCGAGGTCCCTGGAAAGACCGATGGTGTATTGGGTTCGGTCCTGGAGGGACCGGTGAGATTTATGCATCGGTCCTGGAAGACCGTTGAATGAAACTCGTCGGTCCTTATCTTATCGGGGGACCAAAGGGTTTCGAAGATCGGTCCAACGTGATGTAGTGAATTAAGTCCTGTGATTGGAGAAAAATAATGGGGTACACGTGACGTAACCACTAGGGTCGTAACAAGAAGGATTATAGTAAAAAAGATCTTTAAGTTCTAAAGTAAAAGTCAGTTATATTCTATTAGCCTTTTGATAGTATTAGTTTTTAAAAATCATTAGAGGAAACCTTAAATTAAAATTACAGCAAAGAGATTAGATAGTATAAGAAACATAAAGTATATATTTATATGTATTTATACGCGTAAGTAATATGCCTTTGGACTATCGATCGAAATAAGAAAATATAAGTCACTATAATATAGTTATATAGGAATAGACAGGAGATAAATATACAAGAAATAAACAGGGGTTAGGCGATAACTAGGGGTACATGACCATTAGGAATAGAAGAATAGGGTCATAATACTTCTTCCACTGAGGATATCTGCGATAGTGTGCCTCAATGAGCTCATGTACTCAGGGTTCCATCATGCGCACAACCTGCGCCTGTTTCTTTCGCATGACAACTGGACTCTCTTCATCCGACGAAGCCTCAGCTTCTTCACCTCCAGAGATGGCTCTGGAGGCTTTATGTTCAAAGACGGGTAGTTGATACTTTATTGTAAAAGTGGACAACTGATAATATCAACTATCAATTAAGGAGAGGGAAATCTTTTTAGTAGAGCCCTTATAAATTACTATAATGCAGTTCTAAAATACATAGAGTTAAGATATTAATTTATAAGGTAATATCACTTTACACCACTAAAGGAAAGCTATCTGTAAAGGATATAATAAAGGAATAAACTAGCTGATCAGAAGGTTTATCGAGCACTTCTAATTAAAAAAAAAAAAAAGGCAGTAGATTGAAAATACTATCCCTCTTTTAGTGAAACAGAAGCTAGCAGGGGTATAAAGCTAATGAGAGATGTACAATTTCCTCTTTTAGTGAAATTGGGACAGACAATAGGGATGTATATTATGACTATACTGTATGTAAGACTGGCAAGCAAGAAGCTTTTTACACCTCATTTCACCTTTTGACAGCTTGCTCTACATCGGAATTCTCTTCCATTCGATGTAGCGTTCCTTTCCACTCGCCCCCCCTCTCATAATGAGGTCAAATTCTTCCTTTGCTCCTTTCTGTCCTGGCTCGAGCTTAAGCCGGAACGGCCATTTCTCAACAACAGTATGTTTTTCTTTCATCGCTGCTCCTATGAACTGAGGGAAACGTGAGAACTCGAACGTGTTCGCAACTCTTGAGACATGGTCAGAATGGTGTTCATCGAGTCCGTGCAAGGAGATGAATGGATGATCCTTACTCACCTGTCAAAAATGTGGTCGTAAGTCCTGACGTAATCACGAGCATATGAGAACTTGATAATATCGGGGTCATGTTGACTGATTGGTGGATGGTCAGGCGGGAGGAATTTGAGTAGACGCCTTGTTGATGGGCTTTGCATAGTTGCTTCGGCCATTTGATCTTGTTCAGTCATGTTCTCGTCAATGATGTTCATGAATAAGGTGATGAGGGTTGCGTGAGGGTTGTTGGAGGGAGCCTGGAGCAACGGCGACATTATGCCGACGGTTTGATGGATACCAAGATATCCGCCATCTGAAATATTGGAGACCTTTCGGAGGTAAGTATAATGATTGAATGAGCTGTAATTAATTTATCGTTGTTTACTCCAGAAGCTTACCTCTATTCGATCGAAAGACCTTTTCTCAAGATGGCCAGGCAGATCAGACGCGTCTACTTGAAGAAGTTCGAATGCTATGCTTAAGTTATGCATCCGCTCCAAAAATGTCCTTAATGCAAATTTGACATGATAAAAGAGTTTTCCATAGATGTCAGACGTTGCAAGTCCGGTAGAAGTTGACTCAATCTCCTTCACAGGCCAGCCGTTCATAGGGTCGGCGTTGTCGTGCATCGGCCAGCTGTCTGCAGTCTGGAAGAATGTTCTATCTTCATAAGCTTCATTGCATATCATGGAATTTCTGTAACTGACGGATTTGGTTGCTGGAACTCGCTACGTGAAGCCCCAAATGGGAGAAGAAGTCCATCCTGCCGAAATCGATATCTTGCAACACGATGGGAAGAAGGCAGGAAAAGAAAAAAGCGATCGCGATAATCTATTCGAGATTCAGCGAGTGTGACAGCTGTTCGTATTTCGTTCGCCTTTTTAGCTGTTAACCCGACAGGAACCTCCATGAAGCTCAACAGCCTATCCCACGACGACTTCTCGAGCACAAGCCTGAGAGACTGTTGACCAAACGTCCAGGTCTTGCCCAAGATGCTATTGGCAGGTTTATCTCTAATCTTATCACAAACCTTCTCAATAAGAGGGCGAACTCTCTGACTGAGGATGTCAAGGTCGGCCTTACGGATAAAGGCCGAATACCAAACGTGGATCATGCAATCGATTGTTTCATCTTGGCTTTCGGTTGTAAGCGCTACAAGCAGCATTATGGTATTCCGTGCTACTATATCGAGATCTCGGTCGTTCATTGTGATGTTAATGGGCTGATTGTAGCTTGCAGGAAGCTGAGCCATAGTCTTGACAAGATTTCGCAAGTCGCCGGAGGCTATAAAGTGACACGTAATGTCAGTCTCTAGTCTAGAGTACCGTATGATCGGACAGAGCAAGTACCCGCAAACAGCAGGCTCAATTGGCCTTGATAGTTATCTCCTTCATTTGAGTCAAGCCGAAGGACGTCAAGGGCCGGAACATTCCCCCATAGGTACTTCTTGCCTCCAAAAGTGACGCCTATCCCCCCTCTGATGAATGCGGGAGTTCTGTTATTAAGGACCCAATTGGGAGTCCAAGTTGCTTTACTCAGGGCTGATTTGCAATCGGCTTTATGGAAATGCCAGTGAGCTTTTTGGCAGTCGGGACCGCAATACTGCGAGGAAGAATATGTTAGCAATAGCTCGAAGAACTCTTGGAGGGCGATGCAGTTTTTTTGTCACCTACAACGACAAGGCGGCAATTCTTGCAGCTAGACTTTCCAGCGTCCTGGCAGTTCGCGCACGGCAGCGATAGAGTGGGCATGATAGGCTTGTACAACAACTAGTGACACTTAGAGACTGGGATCTTTGAATCCTTATTCGGTTAGAAAAGGCTGTGGAAGGTTGAGAAGCAGAGAATGGTAAGAGTGGCATGTCGTCAGGGCCCTGTACCCGCTATATCTTTTTGTATGGCCGACCGGCCTCCCTATCGATGACATAATTGTCACGCGACATATTGTGGTTTTAGATATTAATCACTTCTTAGCTTTAACAAGCATATTGACATAAATGGGGTTTAGTGTACTACTATGCTTCCCATCCAATGCTATCATGCTTTGTTTGACCTCTTCCTTGACGCCAAATGGCCCCATATTCCAGACAGAAGCAGCATGTATCCCGTCAAATTCATATCAAGCCCGCAACCGGCATCGCCCTAGTCAATGGTTTTCTACGAGCCCAATACCTAGGAAAACCCCGTTTGCTGGTGACATTACTGCAAATGTGTCTCGAAGAGCGGTGAAGAAGGATGGCGAGAGAAGAATGTATTTGGCTGCTGACACTAGACAGTGGTAGCATCATATGTCTCACGCCACAGTCAATTGAATCCAATAGGCTGACTCTGTTCTCAGAAGGGATGGGTAAAGATAAACCACTACAGAGGCATGTCTTACTACCCCGCCCTGCCCGGCGCTCAATCAAGGGAGGAACCGACAGCTTTCAAACCAAAGCAGCACCGTAGGTAACAAGCGGGGAAGGATCTGGTGATTGCGATACGCTGGTTATCTGTCAGCGTTGTCCAGGCACATGCAGTCACACTTGGCTATGCATGATCCACCGACTACCCAGCCATTCAAATCATAGTGGGAATGCTCAGATGACTCAATCTCTCCACTTTCGGCTGGCCTCATTATCCTCGTCGGCCAACACATAATGCTGATTCGGCGAGACTTCTTGGCGCGATAATTGATGTCTCATAGCGTCATGACGTGGCAAACAATTGATAAGAAGAGATACAATGGGGAACTGCTTGCAAACTCAATCTAGTCAATAATACTGTCTTGATCATTTGCATAGAAAGGCTAGCATGTATTCCGCGCCCATCCATCTAGCGATCTAGGTATAATCAATTGTATTTCCTGATGAAGCATCTTTTGTGGAATGAATGAAAGTGTGACAGCACTAAATTGAACATATCTATCTACACTACAGGTTTTGGTAAAATTGCAGGGAGGCAGGGGCCTTAGCTAGACTAGATGTAAATTGGCGTCTTTTGTTGCATAGAAGCAGCAAGTGACACAGTGCCAGGAGCCGGTTTTTCAAACACGGTAGAGGCAAGCAGTCAAGGGCATGCATGAGGTATGTATCGTCTGATACCTATGTCGCACATGCATCACAATTAACACCATTTTCGATGCTCTGTTGCAAACGTTGATCCTAAGGCCTCGGCTTCAACTGTCCAGCAACCCAGGAGTCACGCCAGGTAAGACATATGCCATTCACCGATGGATCCGCCCTTTATTCCTCAAATTGAGGGCCAAGACATTGCCATCAACCATGTTTTGGCCCGAGCCGGTCTGCAACATCAGGGACGTATATCATCTTCTCTTACCGATCAGATGATACAGCGGGGTACCAGTATTATCGTTACATATCTCCTGGACGAAGTGCCCGAGTTTCTTGAACTAGCTGAGCTACGAAGACAGGTGAGAATATTAAGGGGTTCCGGATATTATGGATTGATGCTAACTCGATATAGGGATGGGAGAATCCTGCGGGCGATCGCCACTTCCATAAACAACGTCGTGCGGCAGACAAGACGGATAAGCAAACATCGAAATATCACTACCGTCTTATGCAAAGAATCGGCAAAGAGATTCACAATACCACTACGGGTCTTGCCACGAAGACGGTTCCGGGAACTATTCTCGATATGTGTGTCGCTCCCGGAGGCTTTCTCGCAACCGCCAAGAGACTAAATCCTGGAGCCGAGGTCATGGGATTCAGCCTACCTCCTTCCGATGGAGGATATAGTGTTCTTCTGCCTGAAGACACACAGAGTTCCGTGACGTTCCTAGATATCACCATGCTCGCTGCAGACATGGGCGTCACAATTCTTCCAGAAGACCACCCAGATATTGGGAAGTTCCTCCCCCGTCAATTCAAAGAAACTCAGCTCTTCGAGCTAGTTATATGCGACGGTCAGGTTCTTCGTACACACACTCGAGAGCCCTATCGCGAACCGCGTGAACATACCAGATTGAAAACCGTACAACTTGCCCTTGGCCTTGAGCACATGAAACCAGGCGGCACCATGCTTGTTCTTTTCCATAAACTCGAATCATGGGACACGGCATGCTATATACGTACGTTTAGCGAGTTCTCTTCCGTCAGATTATTCAAGCCGAGAGGAGGCCACGCTACTCGTTCGTCTTTCTATATGGTTGCCAGTCGTGTTCAGAGTCAGCATCCCAACGCTCGTCTTGCAGTTAAGAAGTGGAAAGAATTATGGCGCGCTGCGACCTTCGGCTCGGAGGAGGACTTCATGGAAGCTTTTTGTGACGCCGGCCCAAATGCAGAGAAATTGTTGGAAGAGTTTGGTTCGGAGCTTGTTAGCCATGGCAGGGAGATTTGGCCTGTACAGGCGCAGGCTCTTGCCAGGGCGTCTTACGTCAAAAGCTAGTGAACAAGTGTTTCTACAGGTGAGCTCACTGTAGTAGGGAGTATGGTGATTGAATGCTGTCTGAGTATCTGCCAAAACTAACGCAAGGGATAGTATAAGATAGATTTAGTGATGCTCCTAAACCAATAAAAAGCTCCTAAATACATGAAGACTTAGCAGTGCAGAGCGACAGATTCCTTCCTTTGAAATCGTCCTCCAGTAGGATCACACCTTCGAAAATCTTCCCCATGCCGGTCCTCGTGATTTCCCTGCAGTTCTGTCGAATCTTCTCCATGAGAACCTTCAGAAATTGGACAGGGCTTTTAGAGAATCCCGACCTGTTTACAAGAGTTCCACTGCCGTTGGGGAGGATGAACCCATCAGGACCTAAGCAAACAGAATCGTCTGCAGCAGCCCAGGCCAGCCCAAGGGAATCACATACATGGATATAGTCTTGGAAAGACCTCAGGTAGACCTGTCCCGCGAAAAGGTTAAGGAACGTAATCGAGTCCTCAGGCATTTTTGATTTGGTCATACTGCCTGGTATGCAGTATAGTCGAAGGTGATCAAGGGATTGAAACCCAAGATTGATCCGGGGTGCATAGAGATGAAGCGCGACATGTGAAGAGCTTTCGATGACAGGAAGCAGCTCTTCAATCTCATAAGGACTGGCGACTACAAGGATATGTGTGCCAGACTTAGTGTTGCCTGTCAGAATCCACTGCACGGAACGCTGGAACAAATCTGAGTCATCGCTATGCCTGAAGGTCACTTGGACTGTCGTGGCAAAGTCTCGTGTGACCCAGATGTTTCGAGGAAACCTACTAACATCGAAGTGACGTGCTGCAGAGGTATCAGCTAAAGTTGTAAAAGCCGGTCTGAAGACATCAGTCTCTCCTGGGAAATAGCCACTTGAAACCCAGGTTTTCAAAGGCTGGGCAAGACTGTGTGTTTCTGGGTCAACTTTGGGCGGTCTTTCAACCTGCTGTTCTTGTTCAGTTTCAGGAGACAGCTCGCGTTCTTGTTCTTCTTGAAGGGACGATGTATGTAGCTTGGTCAATCCAAAAGAGTCGCACCGAGCCCGGAGCTTATCAACCGTAGGACCGTCGAGTCGAGTCCAAAGTGAGGATAGCCCCGCGTGGCCACTGCAAGGGCGGTAGCGTTCATCCAAGCTCAGGGCTTCGTTCTCAAGGAAATTCCTGGCCCATAAAGATCCCTCCTCTTGAGGTACTTTTTGATTCCAGAATATTCGTTGTCTACCAAAACGAGCACCTTGTGTGACCCAGAGTGGTATAGCTTTTCGTAAGTCGAGGCAAGTTTCTGTGATGGCCCAGCGAATGACGTCGGATACTGTGATATCACAGTTTCTTGAACGCTTTTTACTCTGCCTTTGTGCAATCTTCTGCTCAATTTCCCACGGGACACAAAACACCACAGACTGACCTTCTCCAAGCCTACGCATCCGCATGCAGGCTGCCATTGTTTCCACTTATCAGTAATATACACGAGGTTTTGTCGAAGGAAAAACGTACCTTGTACCAGCCTGTCTTTTGTCAAAGCGGTACCCAATGTGACCACTGCGCGATAGTACGTGGGAAGCTTCAGATCAGTTCCCCTTGTGTGAGCTTCGTCAAGGAAGACGAGACACAGATCGAGTTGCTCTGCAAATGGCGATGTCCGGAGTTCTTCAACCTTACCAAACCGATCGACAACAATGATTTCGTCGTGATCGCTGAAGCAAACTACAGCCTGGGTATCTGCTCTCCCCTCATAGAAAGCCAACCATTGCTTTGAAAACTCCAAGTTATTGAGATCGATGACTTGAGCTCCAACGTCGAGAATCACGCGAACTTCGGGGCTCATTTCCGAAACCATTTGGAGAAGCATCTGGCTATTCAAAGCAGCGCCTTTCATAGTTCTTGGCGTTAATGCTATAGTGTTTTCTGGCCGTAGCAAACATTCGAGCACTAGAGCGTTAGTATGCTTCTGCTCCGGAAGGTCGAGTTGGGCCATTCCGAGCAGCAATACATATCGAGAATCGTTGGTTCCACTAAATCCTGTCGTCGGGTTGATTTTCCTCTTACCGAGGTCCCACCCTGAGGCAGACAGCTTGTGTGGAAACTCCCTGGACTCTTTGGCAAAGACGAGATGACACAAGTAATAGTCTATAGTAGCTTTAGAGTATTGGATGCTCGGGAAAATCTTTGTTATGCATTGGTCGCGATCTCGTAGGTTCACCCCTTCCAGACTTCGGAAAGAATCAGGCAGTGCTGGGGCTGTCTTGACCCAGTCTTGATATTCGGCCTTGGCGTTATCAGATCTGGCGAGTAGTCTGAACGTAGAGAAGAGAGCCTCGTTACCCAAGCCACTATAGTAATAACTCAGACATGTGAGTGTGATCACAACATCAGGGTGACTAAACTCAGACCGGGGTGTTGGACTATCTTTCGCTCGGTATGGCACAGCTAATTTGGTCATTTTCTCTCTATGTGGATCAATGCCGTAATTGACTCTCCAGCGTTTTTGCCCAAACGCAAAAGCAAGGATACCTCCTGCAAAAAGGCCCCGAAGAAGTAAGATATGGCCTTTTGTAGTTTCGTCCCAGAATGTACTCTGCTCGACCATCTGGGAATCCTCACATGCAAGTTCCCACCGAGTGATGTAGCGAAAGACTGCAGCTCTCATATTTTGGGGCTGTCGTGCGATAGGAAGTCCCACCATTCCAGTTTCACAAATGGAACTGGCAGCGCGTTTGAGAATCTCTTGCTCGGCTTCAGGTTCAAGGAAGCGCATTCTTGGAAACCTCTCTGCCATATGATCGTCATACTCTAGCGATTGCACAAATTCCCCTTTGACGTCGCGTCCAAGCTTAGCAAGTAGAGCCAGAACGTTTCAATAATAATCCAGCGGTCGGGGCTATGTTCAATTGGCCGCTGTTGGCCAATTGTGTAGATCAGCTCAAATTTGACACTGAAGTTCTCGTCACTCTCATCGACAATGTCCCTCGACAAATGGTCTAGGAATAGTCGAGTTTCCCCAAGCTCCTCAGCAGCTTCTTTGTTATCGTTTAGTTGGCATTCCAGTTCCATCAGCTGAAACGACAGGAGTTGTTCAGGCTGCACCATTAAAACACCGCCATCCTTCATGCAGTGTTCCATCAATTGGCGAATTACTTGTGCTCGGTAAGCGTCCATGCGGATATCTCGGGAGAAGGGCATTAGATAGACCGGGCGGTTCAGCAAACCAGAAAGTTTCGAAACTAGCATTTCATGCATCTGCTTTGCTTGTGGCTTTGCCACAATCACTCGTACTAGCTTGGAGCCATCGGCTAGAGCGGTAGCGACTATTGGGACGATGACGGTAGACTTTCCTTCACCCATATTCAGCTGCATGACGGCATTCTGATGGCCTGGAGGGTCGATCATCTGTCGGGCAATTCGTTGCTGGGTATCTCGTATCATAATCTCGCTTTCACATTCAAGCAATAGCCAGTCTGGATAACTTTGTGGGTCCCAAGTCTTGTTGCCGACGTTTTTGAGTTCGCGGAGAAGATCCACTGGACTGGACTGAAATCGTACGAGCCGTCGAGCTTGCTGGGCAGCGGTGATGGCAAGTCCGTAGCTAACTATAGCGCATCTCCATTTCTTAGGTAAGAAAACCCATTGCGAAGATTTTAGTTGCTGAAGGAATAAGACTGGTGCAACCCTGGGCAAGAAGCCTGACCGTTCGAGGATAGACTGCACTGTTCTAGGTACTTCGACGTTCGAAACGCGCTTGGTAGACTGTAAAGTCATGCTTACAAGCAATCTGTACATATCTGCTACCCGACTTTCGCAATTCATAAGATATTGTTCAAATATGGGTCCACATCTCGCACATTGTTTTTCGTTGAGCCTGGTATCCCCGTGGCCGTGTAAACTGGAGATGCTGTCTCGCAATTCACCCAGGTAGCGATGTTCGAACTCCAATTTCACTTTTGAATCAAGAGTTTCGACAATCTTAGCCAAGTTGTTGCTTGCATCACTGTCTTTCGTCGTTGTATGAATTAAGCCATCTAGGCTCAAGGCTGATATTGGATCAAATCGCGGAGCAGGTCCAGAGAACAGGTCCGTTATGGAAACGAATCCTGATGCCCGTCTTCCTGGATGGCTTGGCGGTATTCCAGGGGCAGCCCCGACGGCATCGACAACTGCAACCGGCAACAGGTCTAGGCGCAAAACCAGTGTATCGAGGTATCTCTCGAACTGTAAGTTCTCATACCATTGCTTCCATTTAGGTCTTACTGAGCTCATCACCTCCCCGACGTTGATATAGGTGCAAATTTTGGTCTGAACCGGAGTCGGTGTTGCCGGAGCCTCGCAAGGCCATTGTGAGCTGAGATACTGTCTGAAGTCTGCAATCGCCTGGGATTTATTATCATGATATACTTGCCTGCGCCTCTTTAGGGTAGCTCTGTGCTGTTCATACGCTAGCGGGGTCAAGTGAACTTCTGGAGAGCGTTCGAAAGCAGTGACCCAAGTGCCCGCTAGACTCTCGAGTTCTTGAATTTGAACATCATGTCCCTTTGCCAGGTCAAACTGAGTTTTGGGTGGCAAAGGCGCAGAGGTAACGGAAGGGGAACTGCCAAGCGCTAACAGCGCCTGGACAACCTGTGGGTCATATTTCTTGGAGTACGACATGGTCGCTGTCCAGACCATGAGTTCGAAATTATTGAGCCAGTTTTGTTTGCTCTGAAAAGTGTAGTGAAGCTGGCACCACTCAGATGAGAGAAATCTTTCAGGTCCTTGGAGCCATCTCGAATCGTAGAATAGTCTGGCTTTCGGCACTGCGACCTGCATCGAGCTTACAGTCGCTCTCTGTAGAAGCTCATAAAGGTGTAAAGTGAGGCCTGGCATGACAGGTTGTAGGAGAGCGTAGTGGCCACGAAAGACCCTGAATGCCATCTCTGCGGCACGAACTGCTCGGACTGACTGCTGCCCGCGGTCTCTTCCGAGATAAACAGTATCATGCATTGAAGTAAATTCCTCAGCCCCAAAGCCTGCAACACGATCGCGAGCGCTTCTGTTGATAGCTCGCTCGACCAAGTCGGCCGAAATATTTCTAGGAAGATCTGTAACTTCATATCCGGGATGAAGGAAACTTAGTTCGTGAGAGTTTGTAAGAATTTGCTGGGTGAGTGTGTGGAAGCGACCATCCTGAGATACGTAGCTCAAACTTGGAGACCATTCGGCAGTTTGCATCACTCTCTTGTGGGATGGATAGAATGAGCGATCTGGGGATAGTCTACTTATCAGGCTTAGTCTCTCATGAGCACTGTTGGACAACACGCAAGGTGCTTGAATCTGGGCAGATGAAAGAATTCTCAGCGCTTCCTCAGCTCCTGTCCGATGAAGAAGATGGTCTGGAATAAAGAAGGATGTAAGGGCATGAATGTATGCTAGAAGCAATCTTGTCTCCATCTTATCGTCGGCCACGAGCCGTCGGAGGACGTTATCGATCTTGTATGCTTGTACCCGATGAGCAGTTCCATGAACAATCGTGACACGGACGTGATCCTCCATACATCCCTGTGCTGTTGGTCCATGCTCGACCTTGCCCTCTGGGATTATCACTGTTCTAATTGATGAATCCTTAATATCTCGGAGTATGAGCTTACTTGCAAGCCCGATCAGAGTCCCCAGAGATTGGTCGGTGTCAATTTTCATATTTCGAAACTGTCTAGACCGGATAATCGATTCACCAGGTTTCGAAAAGAACTGTAGCTGTAGGCCGGGAATCCGAATGTCAAGGACTTTCTCTTGGACACTATACAAAATGTGAATCCGTAGAGGTGCTTCAATAGGTGACATGATCGTTGCGATAGCCTGAGCTAGTTGACTTGAAGGAGGCATGAGGATTACGTTGGTGCAATGGTCGAGCTTCCAACCACTACCATCGCGCCTGAAATACCAGTTGGCCGGCTTATTTATGACCCAAACATCGCCAATGTCACAAAACTCAATGGTTTCAGTCGTGCGATTATACCAATGGACAAAATTGTCGACGAAGTGGTGCGGCAGTAGATCCCTCATGGTTCTTGAAGGAATCAGATCCAGAATCGAGCTACCCTTGTGCAACTGGACCAAGAGATCGCGACGTGTCTGATCACCCGAAAAGTCCTGCATACCGAAGTGGACTTTATAACCGCTAAACATCTTGGTAGCACAAAAGCACATGCCTGGCACATTGCTTGGTGCAACATCTAAGATCATAGAACCAAACAGCCTCTGGTAGTTTTCATGGCGTGTATACTCACGCGGCAGGCGTGATAAAGGGCAGCCATCCACTAAAAGTTCACCTGTGAGTGCGCTGAGATGAACTTGCAAGTGATTAGAAGTTGTTTTCATCCAATAAAAAGATGACGGGGAAAGCATCCATTTTGATGATCGGTAAAAGGTAGGCCATCGGCTTTTGATAGCTATATCCAGACAGTCATTGTTATGGTCGACAGCCTCCCGAACCAAGATTGGACAAGCGCGATGCATAGTGTGCAAAAATCTATCAAACATGATACTTTGGAGATGGTCATCTTTGTTGTTCGTCAAGCTAGAGTTGCTGTAAATGATGATTGAAACCTCAACGAGTATCGCTGCCTGTCTTGAATCTGCTAGGATTTGGGATAGCACCTCGTCGTCTGTGTTGAAAGATTCAGCGCAGATCAAGGCGACATGGACGACGATATTCAAGAACTCAGCCCGTTGAGCATCGTCCTTTGTTTCCTGTACCTTCTCGACAAGACGGAGAAGCCAGCTATAGGATATCTTGCGGCAAGTGGAAAGCAGCTCCTGAATCGGAACCGACAAAGAAAGATCGGCCAGGGTTTGTAGTCGGGTTGTGAGTAGCGTAAACGAACACAAGGATGTATGGGACTCCCAACTTTCTTTTATTCTTGAAACACATTGTGTGAGGCTGGTCAACATCTGCTGGCCGAATTCCGTCTTCAAAAGCCGTCGATGCGTAGGCCTTTCGACTTGGACAGCACCATAGGGGCCGGCTTGCATACTCATCTGAAGCAAGAAAATAGTTGTCTCAGGTCGGTTAAAATCAATTGTCGGCATGGCTAGTTGAACGAGGATACTCATCCACTGTATACGGTGCCCAAAAGGCAGGAGAGCTAAAGCCTTAAACTCGCCCAATGGTATATAATCGGGGCAGTCTGATTGACTGGCGATAACCTCATTAGGAGTCTGGCCATTAGGCTGAGCCCATGTTCGCGCGAGAAATCGTTTCAATACTTTTGCCCGACTAGGCAGCCGGAAAGTGCATTGGTCTGAAATTTTGAATGACGACCTGTGGCTAGAGATGAAGGTGCCCTTATCCCCGTCGTAAAATTGATAAATAAGACCATTGTTGAGACAAACATCTACCTCCGTGCTACGCTCGATGAATTTGTCCTTCCGATGGGTAACAACTTGAGGCTTTGCCTGGGATAAGAGTTGGACCCGATTTCTCTCGGGAACAAACCAAGGAGCAAGTCCTTGATATGATGCCAACGGGTACGAAAATTCGGGACGTGCCCCTCAAGACTCGTATCCTAGCACATCTTCAATGAGGAAAAAGGTGACATCACGCCATATGGAGAAAGGACGGGGAATTTCCAGCTCAAACACAGTTGATTGTGCTTCAAGGAGGTTGTCGGGCAAGGGCCACTCATGAACCGCGATCCGAAGGCCCTTTGCTTGTTGTTCAAGGCAACAGCGATTGCAGCTTGATGGTATATGTTCGTCATACACTAGATCGAACGAACGGACAGACACAGAATTACATACCATTCTTTCCGAACTTGCCATCAGATCGTCATACTTTTGTTCAAGACGACGAAACTCCTTGATCCTGTCTTGCCGACGCTGCGAAGCGCTTTTCTCTATCTCCATTTTCTTCGCCTGAAGCTTGGTAGACTTGACAAAGTACCTTACAGAAAAGGAGGATGTCTCTCCATAAGAACGAAAGATAGATGGTCGCCTATGTAACGCGGCAGTGCGCTCCCGTTCTAAGAGATGACTCTCCAGACGATGAAGCCTGGCCATGTCGTCTTTAGAATGGATCAAAAGTGCTTGCCAAACGTCAGTCGGCACCTCAGTCTTATACTCTTGTAGCATAGGATATTTGTGAATTGCAGCCCTGTCGATTGCGATCCAAAGTTCTCCAATGGTCAGGAGCATTCGTGATGCGCCCTCTGGACGCCTCGAGTACCAGTCTGCAGCGGTATTATAATAGCTGCACAAAGACTGTTGCAATTTTTCACAGCAGGATTCTTCCCCGATATGGCCTTTGATCCATTGACTCAGGTAATCTCTAATCCAGGTTTCAAACATAGCCAGGGCGAAGGAAGTATAATCCTTGTGGATATTGGTAGCGAGCAAAGGGAGATCTTGCGTGTCAAAAGTGGAAACACTTGATGTCGGTTCGAAGCTCGAGTTCTGGGTGGTTTTTTTGACGTGGAGAATTGCGAAGACGAACTCATCCATCTCAGGAACCGAAAAGCGTAGGTTGTCCTCCACCTTGATCTTGGAGAGTTTCTCCAGGTCCAAGGGTTTCTGCAATCGCGTGCAGATGTTTGTCCAACGTTGGTGTAAACAGGCAGAAGCAATTGAGACAACCGAGCTGATTTCTTGAAGCCATGGTCCATCTTGAGGTTTCTCAAGTTTACAAAGTCGTCTTGAAAGTTTGGTGACCATTATGTGAATCACCTCGCTTTGTGTCGGTTTGTTGTTGGCGATATGCAGCACTTGAGCCATAAAGAAGATCATGAATCTCTTGTACGTCTTATCCGAGCCATCCGCGAGGCGTTTCATGGTAAGATGCAGTCCAACGCGAACGAGAAGCCAGACCGGAGATCTTCTCCACGGAAGCTTACTCCTGCTCCACAGCACTTCCTCGCGGGTGTTCTTGCAGACTCCCTCGACAGTAATGGACTTGCCGATACCCCGAATTATGCTCGTCAAGAGTTCGGTCACAATACGCGGATGTGCCGTGTCTCTGTCTTCATCTTGCTCTTGCTTTGCTTTTCTAACCTTCTGCTGCACCTCCGCCACCGTTTGCTTGGCCATCTTAGCAAGTGTGTTGACCAGAACCTCCTGAAACTCGGAGTTTTCAAAGTCGTTAGGGGACAGTCTGGTTGCAGATGCTGGGAACTGGCGTACTAATCGACCTTTAGAGGTCATGACAGACTCGTTGGAAGGGGATAATTCGAAAGTCTCAAAACAAAATGAATTGTTCGTTTTGCGAATGAGTAGTCCCGCATTCTGAGCGGTGATATGAAATAGAGCGATAGGATCTGACATGTTCATGGTGAGCAGCTAATCGGAATGAAATATAAATGACATCTTACCATCAGCTGAGAGCATGTGTAAAGCCTCCTGTAGTCCAGCATGTCCCAAATATCCATCCATGTCTCTTGCGACTATCATGTTTTTTATCATAGAGATGCAAGCGGCAATGGCGATCTTTTCGCCAAACTCCACTTTCACCAAGAATTGATCGAGGCTATGCAGGACAAGTCCTACAAGTCCTACATCCTCGAGTGATCTTGATCGAACACCAACGAGCATTCAAGCCATGGGATCTTGGGATCGGAGTATAAAAGCCAGGATCTAATACTTAGATTCTCCATACTCAAGAGCTTTTGAAACTTAGCTCAATATCACGTACTCAGCATTTGCATTTGATATATTGCGATCATACTCATACCATTCCACCCGACCTGCCGCCGTTCAACCAGCCGATTCGACATGGCAATCTCCACGTACTCCGCACTTGTTGATTCCGTCAATTGTCCTGACTGTGGATATAATAACATGTCAGGAGCAGCAACCTGTGCCGGCACCAAGGACGGCAAGCCTTGCGGCAAATCACTCGCCACAGTCGTCAAATAAATCATTATTATAGTGAGTGGTAAATGTCCTGATGAATGTTGAGTCACTCAATTGCGAAGATAGACTGGCTAACTCCAACCTCAGGTCACTGATTACTACAAAAGGATTTCATGCAAATGAAAAAGTAGAGGCAATGGTTTTTGAGATATCTTTTCCAACGGCAACTGGCAGGCTCTTATACAGCGCAATATATGATCATTCTGATTGCCACCAAGCCATCCAGGCATCCGCAATCTCCTCGTAGCCCTTGGTTGATAATTGCTTCTGTACAGACTTCCTCCAATCAAAACGTGCATCATCGGTACCAGGCAAGTTTAATCCATCCGAAACACAAAATCGAGTCCTTATCCACTGCTTTGGGACAAAACCAGCTGTCTCCCAATCTATGATACCAAGTAAGCCATTAGAAGCTATGACCAAGTTTCCTGGCCCCAGGTCACAGTGAAAAAAAACGAACTCAGTACAATCCATCTTCAGATCCTTGCAATTCTTGGCCAGATTTTGATTACTGAAGTCTTTCTCTCCGCCACGTTTGATCAATAGCGAATCAGGAAGGTATCGCCCATCGACACCACCTATGAAGTTGGCTTTGTATTCTGCCAGCTCCTGACAGACATCCACAATTCGGTCAACATAGCGGAATTTCGTGGCTTCATCCATACTCGACCAAATTTGAGCAAGTGTTTGGCCAGGTACTTTCGATAGGACGAGGTAATATCGGCCCTCCCATTCGTCGTGGTAGAGAACTTCCGGGATTGCGAAACTGGGCGACCTGTCCTTCACCCATGCCAGGGTAACGTGCTCGCGTGTTGTATCCGGTGGCCCAGAAAGTTTAACTTTGACGAATGCATTTCCAACCTCCCAAACGGCAGACTCATTGCCGGCCGAATGCACCAAGCGAACTGAGTCTGATAGTGCAGTCAAACGGGACCGAGATATTTGGGGCTTTTGCGTTGCCTCCGTGATACGGTAGTAGAAGGTAGATCCGTCGTACCACGAAAAAGGAGGCGATGCTGAACAGGAGCGGGATAGTATAAGCTTTTCGCCTAACAGCCAACTCATGTCATCAATCTCTCGGATCGAGTCATTGACGGGGGGTTGAACTGCCATTATTTGAAAGTGTAGTGAGGCTGGGTAAAAAGAAGAACCCTGATCAAAATTATGCGATCTAATGGCAATATAAATAGTTGGAAGCGGGGTTGGTGATGGTTTATTTTAGCATGCATAAAGGTGGCTTCAATGCCTGACAGCTCTTCACCGCCTACTAGACCGTGCATGTAGCGAGGTTATACTCAATCTAAGTAAGAACACTGCAGTAAGCGATTACAGCTAAGTTTTTAGGGACATAACCAATATCTCTTGTCTTTATGTAGCTTCATCAGGTCCTACTGTAATTATTATTGGAAACGCGTTGCGTTACCTACTACTGCAACAAAGGCTCGTTGTAATGTACCGAACTACACCGAATCTGGTACGTGCACGCATCGAGATTTTCTAAGTACGGGAAAGATCATCTTAACCCTCACTTATTCTTCATTCTGATCGTTTTTTCCCAACCATGCACTCATTATCCGTAGATTGCTCTACGTCTTACTACTACTGTACAAAGGTGGAACTAAATCCCGCCGCATTGTCTAATTCTTGTCCGTGCCAACCCAGGCGACTACAAATTCCCCCCGCGTTTTGCCACAAAGGCAGCCGACGGAGCTAGTCCTGGATGGGTTAAGCTTCTTTTGCGACTACTGTTAGGGCATACCTCTTCCAGCTACCAATCACCGCTGGTGTACAAGTACATTCTATCTCCGATAAAATGCCATGAAATACTGCGTAAAAACTTGGCAGGCAGGAGGTATTGGAGCGAATGAGTATCCAAGCATTTATTCAAAATTGGCTTCTAATATTAAATTAAATTGAAGCTGTTCGAGACAATTCAGCTGATGTATACGGTTGGTGAGGACAGAGCAATGTCTCCACTTTATGAGTCAGGCCAAGCCGATTGACCGAAACTACAAGATCGATCAATACGCGTCTCCGTCGAATATGTTCACCACGAACTATCATCAATGAGCAAGCAAAGATGCGCACTGCCGATATCCCAAACTGGCGACAAAAGATAGAAGCAACAGGACCTGAGTACTATGACACCTTGTACGATTTTTCTTGCCTCAGACAAAAGTATGAAACTGACGCAAGTAACTTAGACGAAGAAACAGTGGCATGTAGTCTTGCACAGCATTTGACAGTTGTTGACATACACGGGTCACTTTTGACTCGGAGAGTCGACAGGTGGACAAGAGAGATCCGGCTACATACTGCATCCTCACATCCTTATTGTTCGTCCCAATTTCACTGGAAGAGAAAATTCTACATCTCTCATTGGCTTGTACTCCTGCTAGTTCCTCTTTCAGTGAAATTGGAATGAACAATAAGGATGTAGATATATAGGACACACTGACGTCCGAAGACAGTATGAAAAATAGAATGGCTCGGGTATAAATGTATGCGAAAAGCGGGGTAGGGAATTGTCAGCGGGGGGCAATACGATGAGATATCCGCTTTCACGGAAAATCGGAGTATCAATGCAGTATCAATGCAGATGTCATGGATGACATGGTAGACTCAAGGGCTAACTCAAACCAGTCTCTTTCGAACCATAGAAACCACCCATCGTGTTCATATATTATTCAGCTGTCTTGAATACAACAACGTGGCAAGAGCTCTAATCTTGAGCTTTGTGAACGAGGTCCTCGCCACTTCCCGCTGTTGCGGCTGCAGTCATAGCAACGATCGTCACGACATTGAGCCAGCGTGATCCTTCCACCGGCCGCTAGACGATCTACACTAGGGCTGCTGATCTGGACTAAAAACCTAATGTTACAGGGTGCTCCAGAATCGACTGCTTATACCGCTTTTCCGCTCTCAACCTTCAGCGTCGAGGTTATGTCTTCGCAATTAACAGCTGCCCGCTTATGAACGGCCACATTCGTCTGCCATTGCCATCGAAGTTGTTACGTTCTCAAAGCCCCGCATCTCTTACTACCCCGCCCTGCTCGGCGCCCAATGAAGGAAGGGTTGGAAAGCCTTCAGGGCCTAGACTCCATAGGCTTCCTGTCAGTGTTGGTTGGGAATATGCAGTCACTTCCCCTTTCATCTGTCTCAATATGCCTGTCCAATGAGGGTTAGAAATGTGCAGCTATCTCATCCATGCTCAATGCGGCCGCGTAACCGACAATTGTATTTTGACGAATCATAACGTTACTATCCTTATCTCAAGCTGCACATCCAAGGACCTTGTGTTTCAGCTACGTCGCCAGTTGACCACCATTACCTCCCTGTACCCTGGCTGACATGTGTCGAAGTCTGCTTTGTTCATCCTTGCGAAAGGTCTGTTGTGGTTGCAGCCGGTCAAGCCGGCCGCTTTCAAGCCTTCGACAGGTTTTGCAACGAGCCCGGAAGTGGCAACGTAACAATGTTGTTTTTTGTTTCCCCCAAGTGGTCCGGAACTTGTCTGGACCGACCGGCAATGCAAAGAGTTCTTCGTACAGCTTAGTCCGCTGCAGGCTCGTATAAGAAACTTTAGACACCACTTTAACTGTTATAATAGCGAATCGTACCCTAAAGTTTTGTCCCGCGACGTATTGGACATGCGCGAGCGTTACAAATTGCAGTTTTGAATCACGTGAGGTTTCATCCAGGAGGTCTTAGGTGAGACATGCTGCGTGGATGCCTGAGCACCTAAGTCTAGAATCAGGCTCTTCAGGCAAACATCATCTGCAC